ATAATTAAAATATATTTTCCCAAAATAAATTCCCCTTCCCACACCTTTGTATTTTCCGTAATTTCCCTCTATTTTCCGTAGCAGCAACATGGGAATCCATGGAATTTTGAAAATCTGCCGCTCATTACCTACTTGGTAACATTACCAAACTAAGAGTCTAATAATGTAAAATGTGATTATAAGCTGTTCCCCGGTTTAATATTTAAAAAACAATGATTTGTTAATATGAATGAATTCTTAATTAATTATATTTTTATAAAATTTTGTAAAATAGCAAAACTATAAATAAATATAAAATACTGGAGAAACTGCCATTAATATTGTGAATAAATGTATGCAATCAAAAGACACATAATAACGATTAACAAATAATTATTTTTGATAAATAAATATGAATTGCTTTGTTTAATAAAAGCATAATATGTTGTGATTATTATAAAAACCAATTTCATAACAATTGTCATCAAATCAACACCAGAAACCATACAATACAGGAGTGGTATTAAAGCCATAGCAACTAACCAGACGTGTAGTTAATATTGAAATATAGTATAAATAAAATTAGATTTAAAAGTGCAATATTTGGTCAATTTATTGGACATAAAATGAAAGTATAAAAAGATGTAAAACATATAAATTGATGAAATGATAGGATTCTTGACTATAATTCATAGAGAATCTGCAGAATACAAGTGTAGAGTAGTGTTGAGTGAATGCTTGAAAGCAATGCACGTATTATTGCACTTCACATTTAAAACATATAAATTGATGAAATGATAGGATTCTTGACTATAATTCATAGAGAATCTGCAGAATACAAGTGTAGAGTAGTGTTGAGTGAATGCTTGAAAGCAATGCACGTATTATTGCACTTCACATGAGTTTGTGTTCAGTTTGTGATGACATCTAACGGTTTGAATACATTTTATACACATTTATAACGCAATCATTCATTGCTTCAAATAATACAAACTCATTGTCACCCGAAATGTCTTCAGTGGTCACTATATGTCCCAAATTGGTGTCCAATTGTGGCAATCAGTTGGTGTCCGTAGATCTCAATACACCGGTCAAGTCGTTGTCTGAATTGGTGTCAAAACAATTGCAGTTAAATGAAGACAAATTTGGTATTGTATTCAATGAATACTCTTTTTGAAGACATTTGCGACCAAACAATGAGATAATGATTGACTCAATTGAATCTCTTGTAGACCTCATGTGTTTCGGACGAATACTATCACCGGATGAACGGCTCGACTCTTATGGCATAACAAACGGCACAACAGTTTTTGTGTTAAACAAAACCGATTTCAGCGCTTTTGCTGACAAATCAGACACCGAAGCGATGGACACGAGACCGACGGTCAGCGCAGCCGATGTCCAGCATATGGTCATCGCTTTGAGGACCGCTTTGATAG